CTTTTGGTATTGTCAACCATTTTAGCTTTAGCCATTCCGGTGGACCTGTAGTGTTATCTCCTTCTTGTTTTAAGTCTCAAATCAGTGATCAGTTATGAAGTTCTCATGTCAATTGACCAGTGAGATATTTTTTCTTTTGAGAAGTACCTGACGAGGAATTTTTTTGGGGTGGAGATTTGGGGGGAACATTTTTCTATTAGGTTGTCTATTATTTTCTTCTTAATTTATAAAATTTATTTAAATATTCTGGATAGAAGCTTTTTAAAGTTATTTGTATTACAAATACCTTCTCCAACTTCATGGTGTGTTTTTACACTCTTTTACTGTTTTTTCTTTAAATGAATCAATGTTCTTTATTTAATTGGTATGATTTCTCATATTAATTGGTATTAATTTCCTTTAATATTGGTATTTTTGTATTCTATTTAAAATAAACATTTCTCTGCTTCAGAATCTTGAAAATATTCTGCATTTTGTTTTATACACTAAATTGTTTTGCTCTTCACATTCATGTCTGTAATCCATTTGAAATCACTTTTTAAAAAATTTATTCATTTTAGCTTTTGGGGTACCTGTGAAGAACATGCAGGATTGATGCATAGGTACATACATGGCAATGTGCTTTGCTGCCTTCTTCCCCATCACCTATATCTGGCATTTCTCCCCATGTTATCCCTCCCCAATTCCCCACCCTCACTGTCTCTCCCCTAGTTCCCGCCCCACAGACCTCAGTATGTGATGCTTCCCTCCTTGTGTCCATGTGTTCTCATTGTTCAACACCCACCTATCAGTGAGAACATGCAGTGTTTGATTTTCTGTTCTTGTGTTAGTTTGCTGAGAATGATGGTTTCCAGGTTCATCCGTGTCATTTTTTATGGCTGCATAGTATTCCATGGTGTACATGTGTCACATTTTCCTTGTCCAGTCTATCATCGTTGGGCATTTGGGTTGGTTCCAGGTATTTGCTATTGTAAACAGTGCTACAATGAACATTCATGTGCATTTGTCCTTATAATAAAATGATTTATAATCCTTTGGATATATACCCAGTAATGGGATTGCTGGGTCAATGGAATTTCTATTTCTAGGTCCTTGAGGAATCTCCACACTGTCTTCCACAATGGTTGAACTAGTTTACACTCCCACCAACAGTGTAAAAGTGTTCCTGTTTCTCCACATCCTCTCTAGCATCTGTTGTCTCCAGATTTTTTAAAGATCGCCATTCTAACTGGTGTGAGATGGTATCTCAATGTGGTTTTGATTTCTCTAATGACCAGTGATGATGAGCATTTTCTCATATGTTTGTTGGCCTCATATATATCTTCTTTTGTAAAGTGTCTATTAATATCCTTTGCCCACTTTTGAATGGGCTTGTTTTTTTTTTTTTTCTTGTAAATCTGTTTTGGTTCTTTGTAGATTCTAGATATTAGCCCTTTGTCAGATGGGTAGATTGCAAAAAATTTTTCCCATTCTGTTGGTTGCTGATTCACTCTAATGATTGTTTCTTTTGACGTGCAGAAACTGTGGAGTTTAATTAGGTCCCATTTGTCTATTTCGGCTTTTGTTCCAATGCTTTTGGTGTTTTAGTCATGAAGTCTTTGCCTTTGCCTATGTCCTGAATGGTTTTGCCTAGATTTTCTTCTAGGGTTTTTATGGTGTTAGGTCTTATGTTTAAGTCTTTAATCCATCTGGAATTAATTTTAGTGTAAGGTGTCAGGAAGGGGTCCAGTGTCTCTTTTTGGCATGGCTAGCCAGTTTTCCCAACACCATTTATTAAACAGGGACTCCTTTCCCCATTGCTCGTTTTTGTGAGGTCCGTCAAAGATCAGATGGTTGTAGATGTGTGGTGTTGTCTCCAAGGCCTCTGTTCTGTACCATTGGTCTATATCTCTGTTTTGGACTAGTACCATGCTGTTTTGATTACTGTAGCCTTCTAATGTAGTTTGAAGTCAGATCTATGCCTGTCACATTCTTATCATGAATCCTTAAATGAGAATTTTTCCTGATCCAACTCTTTTTAGATTAGTGGGGACTGGTCTGGGGCACTGTCCTAGGCTACCAGTACTCTCCGTGGTTCTTAGTAAATTTTCTCGTTCACTGCAGCCTCCACCTCCTAGGTGGAAGTGATTCCCCTGCCTCAGCCTCCTGAGTAACTGGGACTAAAGATGCATACCTCACATGCCCAGCTATTTTTTTTTTTTTTTTTTTTTTTGTATTTTAGAAGAGGTGGGGTTTCACCATGTTGGCCAGGATGGTCTCGATCTCCTGACCTCGTGATCCATCCACCTCATCCTCCCAAAGTGCTGGGATTGCAGGCGTGAGTCTCCCAGACTGGTTCCTAAGAACTTTTCTTATGGCACAAGTTTATGAGGTTGAGTGAGTTCTTAAAATGATTTCCTCGCCATTGCAGGAGATCACACTTATATGGTGGCTCTCTAGAAAGAGTCCCTACTGGCCGATGCCCTTCAGCAAAGACAAGCACCTGTGTGTTCCCTGTTCAGCTCCACACTCTCAGCTTCTTCATGTTGCCAATTGATTCTAGGAAGTTCTATCCACCAGTCCCCCCAAATTCTTATTCAGAGACAGGACTTATTGGAGTCACTTTTTAGCTTAGATCACTGACTTTGAGAACACGGTTCTATAGGTTTTCTCTGACATCTGCAGCCACACATGTCTTCTCTTGGGGTCTTCCCACATACATGACAGACCCTTGCTGACTTTCCTCATTTATTGTGGTTTGGGGATACAGCATTTCACAGTTTGCCAGTGATGGAATTTACGTATCGGTTCTTCATTTTCAGTGTTGTTTTAAGGTGATTGCTGAGAGAAGGGAGCCTAAGTGTCTTTTTCCTGCTGTCTTAAAGGAGAAGTTGATCGTTTATTGGAAGAGAAGCCCTCCTCTCGCCTCTCTGCTTCTCACGAGTCTTTTGTCTGCTGCAGTCCAGCGCTGTCCAATACGGCATACTATACGATGGAGGGAATGTGTTCTCCTCCGGGTCCACAATGGGGCGTAGTTCTAAGGGCAGGAACTTCCTAGCGCCCTGCCCCCCTCCCATCTCTGCATCTGGGAGTTTTAACAGTTTCCGTTTAAATTTCGCGGGCGCGGGAAGAAACTAAGAGTCAGTCACTCCAGCAGAAGTTCTAAGGAACTCCTTTCCTTGGCCTGAGGTCTTAGACAAGGTGGGGGTTCCTCCCAGGCCAAAAGTCCCCTTCCTCCACATGCCTTTGGGGACTCCACATGTGGGTCCCCTTCCACAAACACCCGCTTCGTGGAAGCCGTCTTTCTCTCTCCCGGATTTCCCATCTGGGGTCCCCTTCTGCACTCTCTCGGGGAAGCCTGTCTTCCCCTCCTAAACTCCGTCTCTCTCTGTTCCCTAACACTCTCATGGAAGCTGCTCTCCTCTCCTGGATTCCATCTTTCTGGATTCTCTCACTCAGTGTGAGAGTTAACTGCTTCTTCCTCTCTCCTTCTCCTGTTTCTCTCTCTCTTTAAATAAAATCACTTTCTACAAACGCTTTTGAGTCCAGCATTGACTGCACACTGCGCTGTGGTCCCCTCTCTCATTCTTGAGAGGGCAGGAGACTGAAAACCTGGAGAAACATCCTCTCAGGGGAGCTGAGGGCACCCTGAACCCCAAAATTCCATGATGAGGAAAGTGTTCTATGTCTGTGCTGATCAATACAAGTCGCAAATAACCACAAGGGACTGTTGAACACTTGGAGGTGGCTGCGTGGCTGAGGACTACATTTGAAACTTTATCCAAGTTAATTTACTTAAAATTAAATTTAGTTGAAATCTAGTTCTTTAGGTTTCCCCAAAGATAAATGTATTTAAGAAGGCGCATTCCTTCCTAGGTTTTATTTTTTTCTCCTGCTCGTCACATCCCTTCCCTGAGGCAAAGAACACAGAGCCAAACACTGCTTGGAGGTAAAAGAGAAACTGCTGGGGAAAGAAGAACAGGAGCCGATAGCTCAGAAATCTTATTTTTTTTAATTGCATTTTAGGTTTTGGGGTACATGTGAAGAACATGCAAGATTGTTGCATAGGTACACACATGGCAGTGTGATTTGCTGCCTTCCTCCCCTTCACCTATATCTGGCATTTCTCCCCATGCGATCTCTCCCCACCTCCCCACCCCCCTCTGTCCCTCCCCCATTTTCCCCCAACAGACCCCAGTGTGTAGTGCTCCCCTCCCTGTGTCCATGTGTTCTCATTGTTCAACACCCGCCTATGAGTGAGAACATGCAGTGTCTGATTTTCTGCTCTTGTGTCAGTTTGCTGAGAATGATGGTTTCCAGGTTCATCCATGTCCCTGCAAAGGACACGAACTCATTGTTTTTGATGGCTGCATAATATTCCATGGTGTATATGTACCACGTTTTCCCTGTCCAGTCTATCATCGATGGGCATTTGGGTTGGTTCCAGTAGATCAGAAATCTTATCTCACATTAGTTAGTGTCTGATTTGCCTTCTTAGGTAGCACTGAAGCTCGAGGAGTAGCTGGAGACATTCAGCAGCTTTTCTGGATACAGATGCCCAGCGTCTTTTAGCCTCATCTGTCACAATTGGTACCTAAGGCAAATATTACTGTGGTGACCTTTGGAATTTCTAATTATTTACGATGAAAACAGCTCATGGCTGGGTTGCTAAGTCCGAAGGAACACAATAAGGGAGAGACAAGACATAAGTCACGTGTGTCCTCATTCCCAGGGAGTGGATGACTCGCCAGGCCGTGTACTGGCCACTACCTGTCTCCTGGAAACGTTCCCTTTTGTTCTCTGTGGTCCGGCTTCTCTCAGACTCTAAGAATGTGTCCTGCTCCTGCTCACTACAGGACTTTGCGGATCTTGTTCTCTTTCTGGAAATCCCCACCACTCCTTTGTCATCTTTTACTTTGAACTCCTACTCGTCGTTCAGATCGTGAATATCACTCTTTAGGGAAGCCTGTTTTGGCTCCTTAGTTCAGGTCAGTTTCCCCTGGATAAATAAAGTGGCCTAGATGTCTGCCCCAGGTATTCGAAAGTTGGCTGCAGGTGGGAACACGTTCAAATCTCCTCCAGGAGCTCAGGATACTCCCAGGGCTATGGAGCGCCCACCGTCCATCTCTAAGATGCAGTGGTATACCGGGTTTATCATGGTGCTTGAAGGAATGGATTCTGGCTTCAAAGTGCTTGTCTAAAAGCATAGGATAAAATTTCCTATTTCCTTCTTGTGCTGTAAACTATGACCCAGCTGTAAACATATTAAATAAATTCTCCTCTCATGCATAGTAAAACACTGAACATTCTAGGTGATTTAAAACTGAACTTGTAGACTCCTGAGTCACAGCATAAAAAAATAATAAATACTTTTATTCATAGACCTCACAGAGAAGGGTCATCACTTTAGACTTAGACATTTTCTAGAAATGCAGGGTGGGGAAATAAAGAGTCACAGCACAGTTTTCTCCAACGGGAAAACGTAGTGCTTTTTATCTCATGAATAAGGTTATTTCCCAGTTTGGCTGGCCTACAAAGCATGTTCATTGTTCTCTGCCAATTTAGTGCTTTGCTATTCATGGCAATAGGCCTGGATAGTGGCTGAACAGAAAGCAGGGCAGTGAAGAAAAGGGAAAATAAGAGAGTAAGACTGGCTTAGGATAGAGTGAAGGAAGTCCCTAAGACTAATTTTCTCAATGTAATAGAGCTTGTAAAAGCAATTTCTCCCTTTCAAAAACTGCACTAATTATGCTGCGTCAGGTGAATGCTAGGTTAATATCTCAGCCATTTTGTACTGTTGTCTGCAACGCTCGTAGAATTATTCATTGACAAAGGCAACTTACCGACCAAATAGCGTGACTTCTTTGAGTTTCCCAATATACCTGGAGTGAGTAGTTCATTAGCAACTACAGTGTAAAAGGCCAAATGTTACTCCTTAATTGGAGTTAACTCAGGCTACATCAGGGGAAAGACAGGAAAGTCAGAAGGAGGTTGCTGGGGTATTAGGCCATTTCCAAATGTGACCTGAGTCAAAATAAGCTTCATTTTTCTCTATAGACTCAGTTTAATTTTAAATTTATAAATGCACTCAAATTTCTGAGGCTTTGGTTGTGCACTCATTTATATTAACTTACCAGTAGCAGATCCACAGAAAAATTCCAAAGGTCAAGCATCAACCTGTAATGGCAGAATTCTCAACTCCTTCACGTAGGCTGTGATGCAGAGGGAAAGCAGGGTTAGCAAGGGTGCCTCTTTACACGTGAAAACTTGCTCTGAGATTTCTCCGAGATGATTAATATGAATTAGTTATGTAACTGTTTCAAAGTAGCCTGAAAAAATTAAATTCAGATGAAGTCATGCAGGCTTAACAGCCTTCTGAGAGCCCAGGCCTGAGGCTAAGAAAAGTGGACCTTATTTGTATTTAATCAACAAATGAATTAATTAGCTCCTTAAAAAGCTTTAAAATTGTCATGTTTAACTTGACTTGCTCAGTCAGAATTGGAGAGGCTGTCTGGGAGGGAACCATAGTATCCTGTGAAAACAGAAGTCCCGTATCATACACATGTCAATTTCTTATTCTCTCTTCCTGTTTGTTTGTCTGAGCAACTTAATGCATTTTATTCTTCAACAAAGGATATGTATTCAATAAAGGAGGCATTCTGTAGCTAAATGTGGCTTTCCTTTTTTTCTTTTTGGGTTGATCTGTGGCCCCTTTGACAAAGGGCGGAGGGAAGACAGAACAGGAGAGGCTGCATTGGTGGCGTCACGATGCTGAGTGAAAATTCACAAACTCACAGGAGGGGTTTCCAAGAGCCTCTTGGAAATGTGAACTTATTATTTATTGTCATGGACACAACTCATTAACGTATCAATAAGACAGGATTAGAATACAGATTTCTTTTTTTGTTTTGCTTGTGGATTTTGCAATATAAGTAGACAATGATACTCAAAGTCACGAACCTTAAACTATGAAGGTGTTGTTTTTATATAGAACTAAAATGTACATTGTCTAACCTATACTTAATGAAACTTATAAATGCCATTGTAATAACTTCTAAGTGTGAATTAACTGCGTCACTGACACCATGTGGCGGGATCACTACAAAATCTTAGAGGCTAACTGGGTTCAAATAACCCTCGTTTTCTTGGAGTCCCAGAGAAGATAAATTTTCGGCTGAGAATGCACAGCTCCTAGAAGGTTTACTCCTCCTCTCCTCCAACAAGCCACTTCTCGTTGTTCTTTATATGATGCAACATTACCCAAATTTTGAAGGAAATGTTTTTAATTAGAATACAAGTTTCCCTGCCTTACTTTGGATGAGAAACTGAATTAGATCATTTCTACAATTTTTTCAAAATAAAAAAATAAAATTGTGAAAGTTTTACACAATCACACTGTCACTATGTAGTTTTTTCTTCATAACTAACAAAACTTCCCGAATAATGTGTTCTATTTCATCTTTACTTCCACCATGGCTACCGCTCAGGTATATTCAAGTGTACTTTTTTAGGTAAAATTTGTACATGTCTCTTTCACAACAGGGGCTACTTTTACCTAAAATATCTTTTCATAATCTGAGGTGTGAAGGTGTCTGCCCCCATCTTACAAATCTTATCCTAGGAGCCCCTGCCCGAAGTTTTTGAGCAGATCTCAGGGTCTCCCTTTCTTTTTTTCCTTACCTTAATCTACAGATTCATTGAGCTGTAGAGCATTCGAAAGAGAAGGAACGCTGTGTGATAAAAGACGACGGTGAAGCGGAGAGTTCCAACGTGCAGACTTCGCAGTAGGAGAAGCAAGATCCCTCTCCGGATGACCCTGGGAAGGTGAGTTGGTGTGGGGAAGCGAGCTGCGGAATAGGTGGGGAAGGGAGGGGTTCAGGTTGGCTTCATAAAAGGATTTAGGGAGACTCACATTACGATTGGCTCCTCCAGTTCCCTACAGGAAGCAACGCGTGTCTACTTGGCTTTCTGGAGTCAGAAAGGAATGCCTGACTTCTCAGCACAACTACAGTGAGTCTGTTTGTCCTCTCTAAATACTGGCATCCTTTTAAAAGAAAGCAAAGCTTTTTATTTCACAGAATTAAAACTCTTAACACACCTAGAAGAGTTTCACATCTTCATATAAAGGGATACGTGTGGGAAAGTAAAATACAGGGATCCATCCTGGTTTTGATAGGGGCAAGGCTCTGGAAGCAGAAAAGCACAGCTCTTTTGCAGTGAGAGCAGAAGGTGCCATTCTGGGAAGCGTGGAGCAGGAGTAAGACAAGGCCATCACAGACGGATTCCCTTATTTTATGATTTGCTTGGAGCTGTTCTAACTATCTTCATCTCAGTGCAGACAAATAAAGCTGTGTGCAGAGGTTTTACAGCTCCCTAGCTTACCCAATATCCACACCTGGGTGAGAACCATGACGCATTTTGTTAACACCCTTTGCATTTTGCCATCTTTCAAAGCGTACCTTTGAGTCCTTTACTTTATTTTCTCAAAACGTAATCCTCCCCAGCTCTACCCAGCACATTTAAATCATGATAGGACAGTAGGACAGATGACCATAGAGATAATTTATCTTTTTTTTTTTTTTTTTTTTTTTTTTTTTTTTTTTTTTTTGAGACGGAGTTTCGCTCTTGTTACCCAGGCTGGAGTGCAATGGCGCGATCTCAGCTCACCGCAACCTCCGCCTCCTGGGTTCAGGCAATTCTCCTGCCTCAGCCTCCTGAGTAGCTGGGATTACAGGCACGCGCCACCATGCCCAGCTAATTTTTTGTATTTTTAGTAGAGACGGGGTTTCACCATGTTAACCAGGATGGTCTCGATCTCTTGACCTCGTGATCCACCCGCCTCGGCCTCCCAAAGTGCTGGGATTACAGGCTTGAGCCACCGCGCCCGGCCAAGATAATTTATCTTTGCTAAGGTTTCACTTAGAACATTCCCCTGATGCTTTATTTTTCTAAGATTGACCATTAGCTAGGGCACTCTGTCACAGGATAGAAATTTGTAGTATTGGTTGTGTCAAAATAGCACAAGTATGAACCCACAGTTTAAGAGGTTGTATTTCTTGATCTAGTTAACAAATCTTCTCATGATATTCTTTAAAACATGTAACATTACCCAAGAGTTTCTGGCTGATGTTACGATCAGACAGAGGGTTGATGAGCTGTAATGTCGATGGTGCAGAAGGCATAAAACAATACCTACTGCCTTCTAAAAGAGAAGAGAGGTCGCAGGGGGTGGGGAGAGGCTTGGGAAGTTCTGTGGTGCCACCATTGATTTAATTCCCTCTGCAACATGCAAAAAAACTTTCAAAAACTTTGTCTGCTACAAAATGATGTACAGAACGACCAACTGTTTGATTGTTGGTTTATAGAACGTAATGGACAGGATGACACATTCTTTAGGGAGTCTGATGATGTCACCTGAAAGCAAGAGAAGATAGAACATCCTGGCTCTGACTATTTTTCTAGCCACAAATAGCAGGGCTAAAAAGCGTTGATACTTAAGAAGGGCAATAGGGAAAGAAATTACTTATCTGTGTATGACTCTCTTGGTTTCCTATCAATAGTGACACTTTGAAATTCTTCAAGAATTTTCACACTGTTGTGGCTTTTTATTTGCAAGTGCTTAGGACTGCAAACAGAAAGGGGTGGGGCTTTCAGTGGCCAACATGGTGAAACCCCGTCTCTACTAAAAATATAAAAATCAGCTGGCATGGTGGCAGGTGCCTGTAATACCAGCTACTCGGGAGGCTGAGGCAGGTTAGAGCACAACTGTTTTCGATTTTAAGCAGATTTCCTCCTCCCTTTTGTGGGACTGGAAATGAACTCAACTCGAATACTTGAGTCTCAGCAAGTAGGATGTGGTAAATTAAGAAAAAAAAAAACCCGTGAATGAATGTGTTCAGGTGTGGTTAACCTACCTGAGGTGAGGAGGTCTGGATTGAGTGGTCTGAAGTATACAGTGTCTAATGTCATCACGTAAAATGTGTGTACCTATGCAACAATCTTGCATGTTCTTCACGTGTACCCCAAAACCTAAAATGCAATTAAAAAAACGTCTATGGCTTTGTCTGTGATTTAATATTTTTTTACATTTTAACTTTTCACTTTGAATTTGAAATAATTTTAGACTTATACAGATGTTGCAAAAATGGTACTAAGAATTCTCATATACCCTTTACCTAGCTTTTCCAGA